CCTCACTCTGTGCTTAGAATGACTTAGTGCTCTGCAGAACTACTGACATGTAATCACAGGGTGCTATTTCAGAGGCTACTTAGGGCTGTTATCTAGATCAAGACCTGTGTGCACAGCATCCCTCACGCATGTCATCCACAGTATGGTATATACATACACTGTACAATGTCACATGGGCTTTCTGGAGCACAGTATATGCACATCATATCACATGTGCCAGCTAAAACACAGTAGGCACACCTATCTGCCTATACCACAAATCTGAAGTCTGAAACTCACCTGACTATAAGACTTCACAGAAGGTAAGACAGTGATATAGGAATGACATTGGATCTTCCATATGATATAGGGGAAATATAACTCCCAACCTATTAGAGGTCAGATATGCCAAGTTCACAGTCCCCAAAGTTGAAGAATGAAATCTAAGGAACAATGGAGGTTAAGAGTAGGAAATATTTATTAAGAGATTTTTAGCTCTTGAGAGGCAGAACGTTCCCGAACAGGTGGCTGAGGACTCCACTTTTCAGGGATAAGTTTTATAAAGAATAATCACATGGGTACAACATGGGTTAAAGCTATGAACCACCAAAAAGGTTACAAGTATAATCGCTTAGGTAATAGTAATCCAATGGGGGAGCAAGTCGTGTAGCAAGCATACATGAAAAAAACAAAGAACCTTTCAGGAAGGTGATGGGTCTGAGGGTCTTGGTTACCTACCAAGGTGACTGATGACTACTGCCACTTCATTAGACCAAGTGTTACCATTTATCTTATCCTTTGGGGAAGTAAGTAGGCCTGGCCATTTTTTCTTTATCTTGAGGCTTGGCCTTCAACTGATGCACTTCCAGCCACAGTTGTAATGTGTTTTCATCTCTGCCACTGACTCTCTCCAGCTAGCCCTCCCTACTTGACTGCCTACAATATTTCTACCTAACTTAGCTGCCTGTAACAGAACAGAAGAAATAAAGATAGGTAGGAAGAAGGCCAGGAAAATCACAATTTAAAAATTGTACTTTTAAGAAGACAGCAACTTTAGGACAAGGTTACCCAAGGCTATCTATATCTGTACTTCCTAGGTTTGTTTATACTTCTTTCCTTCTAGGACTATCACACTCAAAAATCCTTAAAGATAATTTAAAACCCTAAGTTAGCTTAGTTGATAGGGTAAAGGCAGAAAGCTAGCCTTGAGATAAAGAAATATATTCAGAGATTTCAAAAAATGTTTTTAGGCATAACACCTGAGATCAACCACACACACACACACACACACACAGACACTGCCACGTATGGTGGCACACACCTGTAATCCTAGCACCCAGGAGAATGAGGAAGACCATGAGTTCAAGGCCAGTTTGGGCTAACCAGTAAGGTCAAGGCAAGTCTGAACTGCACAGCAAGAACCTGTGTTCAAAACACCAACCAAACAAAAAACAATAGAATGGGCCCTAACTTTCCCCTGTAATAGGCCATCATTTGACCTGTAAAATTATCTTGCTACCTTTACTTTTCCCTGTAAACTAAGCTAAAACTTTCTATAGATTCACAAATTCCACATATTTCCACTCCCTAAAAACACAAAATACCCTCAGATCTGGACTATAGTATGCCTCTGTCTCTTCTGCCTAGATCCTCTTTACTGATGTGTCCTGAAAAGTCTTTTTTCTGTGATAGAAGTCTGGGAATCTTAGACCTGCGCCATGGGTGGGATGAGTCACAGTTCTCCATCTCTCTTTCAGGGACTTCCTCAGACCCTGTCCATTGACAAATGTATTACAGGCAGTTAAATTAGTTAGAAATTAATATACAAAGATGGATGGGAATCTCAAAAAAGTCAGTGAAAAGTAAATCAGAATTGTGGCTGGAAACCAGGCCTCAAGATAGATGCAATGGCCAGGCCTACATGCCTCCCTAAGGGATAAGCAGTAACCTGGAACTATATTCTAATTAGCACTGTTGGGGCCAGAAAGTCCAGACAGGCATCAACTGACCAGATGGGTGACCAGAGCATCCGGACCCATCCCTTCCCAAAATGCCTTTGTTCTTCCTATATACCCTTGCTATATGTATGACCCACTTCCCTACTGGATCAATATATTATTAGCTAAGCAGCTATACTTGTAATCATATAGGTTGATTAGTTCGATCCATGTTGTACCCACATTGGCTTTGCTGTATAAATCACCCTTGACGAAGGACCTCAGTGGCAACCTACTTTGGGACTCCTCCTGTCTCTCAGGAACTCTCAATAAACCTTTCCTATTCTTAACCTCCACTGTCCTTAGGGATTCATTCATTTCAGGGGACACAAATTCAGCACATCTGACTTCTAACAGGTTGGGAGTTAACATTTCTCCTCTATCAAAGGGACAGTGAAACTGTAGTTTATCCACAACCAGAACTCCAAGCAGGTGGCCTGATATGGTTTAGATGTGGTTTGTCCTTTAAAGGTCCACATATTGGAAGCTTTATGGCAGAATAAAAACTAGGTAGAAAAGAGACAAAAAAAATTAAAATTTAAAAAATTATACAGTACAATGAAGAATAATTGCACCTTCAGAACACAAGCCCGGTTTATTTTTTCCTTCCCTTTTGTCTCCCAACACCTAGTAAACCTGGGCAGCTACTCCCTTTCACCTAAAAGTGAGTTTGTCCCTTCCCTTTTTACTTGCAAAAGGTCCTCTTTCCCCTATAAATAGACCACCTTTTTAGGATTTCCCATATGAAAAGGCCACTATCTCACTGTGGGTGGGCCTTCCACTCCAGGCTGTCACCACCCAAAACACAGAAAAGATCCCCAGTTCCCAATTGTATTGTGCCTCATTTCTCTGAGCACCGCACAACACTTTTAGTATGTCCTTTATCTACCTCTAATAAATCCTTCTTATGCCTCTTTTAGTGATCTGAAATTTCTTTTCCTCCGACAGGTGTTAGCAAACCTACAAATTTACTTTAAAAAGTGTGTTAAAGTCATTTCAGCCTCAGGATCCTCAGACCCAACCCGGTGACAGCTGTACCCCCAGGATGGCAGTACTGGGATCTACACGAAGTGAGTCCTAATGGAAGGACTCCAGGTCACCTGAGGTTGGAAAGGATTAAGGTATTTCTCCTGGGATGCTGGTTAGTTGTCCTTAGAAGAACTGTTATAAAGGCCTGAGCTGGCCCCATAAATCTCTAACTTCCTTTCAGTTTGGTGATGTGACCTCTCTCTCCTTCGTGTGCATCCCCAGGTCTTCACCAGGATGGGACCAAAGCCAAGGCCAAGACTTTTGAAGCTCCAGAACTGTTATAAATAAACCTCCTGTCTTCACAAGTACTCTGGTATTTTATTATAGTAACAAAACTGGACTAATACAAAGTATCTAACTATATTACAAGGTGTAACACACAAAGTTTGAAGTAGAAAGTACTCTATAAATGGAAAAAGTCAGCACTTAGTGCTCTCTCAATCAGTGATAATTCTATCAGCTGCATGCATTACAAGGGGCTAGGGTAGAATACACTGCAACCTAAGGCCTGCAGCTAACGTTCATTAATCGCTTTGCCAGGCAATGTTTCAAACACTGGGAACCTCAACTGACCTCTCTCTATATCAACTCTGTGGGAGCACCAAGACCACACACCAGGAGAGAAATTAGGGCTACCACTCAACCGGCACCCTACACTGCCTCCCAGGCTCTGATTTTTGGCAGATACAAAGATAAAAATATAGCTCTTATTGAGCAAACATGCTTTCTGTAAACTGAAATACCATGTTATCTCTTAGAGTATACAGTAAAACAATAGTGCTGAATTAAAAAGTAAAACCCATCTTTTCCACACCTACTATCCAAGTATGAAATGTTTCTATTAACTTGACCATTACTCAAACAGAAAGGAAAAAAGTTAAAACATGGTGTTCAAATGTTGGCCTCTGCCGCAGAGTTAACATCGGAATCACCCACGACACCCAGCGTGCCCAGAGCAGTTGAAGGGGCGCTCTCTGGGGGCCTGCGGAGAGCCCCCAAAAGAGGAAGCCGGCGTCCCCGCGGGCTACTCCGAAGTCCTGCACACACCGGACCGCCTTCTTCCCCGCCCGCTCACCTCCACGGCCGGCCCGCGCCGCTCAGGCAGCACAGCGCCAGG